TTTTTTTTTTTTTTGCGTTCTGATGATATTTCTTATCTGGAGTTTAGTATTCGATCTCATTTTTTTTGGATAAGCGGAATTGTTTTGTAAATATTCCTTTCAGTAGAAGATCTTTGGACTAAAAATGCAAACAATTATTATTAAATTAATTAAAATCATTGTCAATATAATTTTTAAGTTTTTTTTTAATGATCTTTCTTTCTTCTGATAAGATAAGATGAAAATATTAAGATTAGTTAAATATTTTCCAAGGAGTGAGGTAGAATAAAACGTGAGCCAAAGTTATGGTTCCAAAATAAAAGGCGCTTGAATTATAATATTAGATAGTTTTTTCTTAACAATAAAATTCTATAGATTTTTGTTAAAAGAATAATCGTACAATGTACCTCAATCAAGGGCATTGGATATTATGGTTCTGTGTGAACATTCATACTATTTATATACAAACTGAAGAAAAAAAAAATAAAAATAAAATATGTACATGAAAAATAAATAAATAGATAATGATTTTAAGAAGACAAATAAACATTAAAAGAATAATAAAACTAAAAAATGCATGTAAAAAGAAAAATGCTTGTTGCACATTAAAATGTATATCCAATATTTACATTTAGCCCGGGCAACTCATAGCCATGCTTTGCCGCTTTCATGTGGAAGTCAACGCATATATTAGAATCAGCACCAAAAACAACCGTTAAAACAAAAAAAAAAAAAATGTTCGTCTACAGGATGAAAGGGACCTAGAAGTTAATGGGTTTATTATATCTCATTTTAATTTTTACTAGATTTTATCATACGATGTTTGAGTAAACTATAAACTTTTTTTTTTGTGTGTGTCCTCCCCTTCTTCGCCGTTAAGGCTATACGGGCTTTTCCCGGGCCGGGGGTGTGGGCGGGGATTTAAAAGACTCTCGGCACCGGGACGCTCGTGACTATTTTTGTATCATTGTATCATCAGGTTGCCGGGCAACGGCGGTGCTGTGCACAACGCGTTAGCCCATTCGGCCACCCCGCCCACTGTAAACTATAACCGATAACACCTCTCCCTCTACGACTTGTGCTTGTATTTATTTATTTGAAATACTCCATAAAATTTGGATTCAATATCCCCGACAAACTTTTATAGCAACATCTGAACCAACAAAATATTTACATTAAATGTCGCTATTGTTTCCCTAGATCTGGACACGCCTTGAATTGAATACGGCGGGCCCCCTGCGGAATGTCAGATACGCATGATGACCTTTCGCCATAAACCTTGTAGAAGACGACCTTTCTGTTATACTCCACGTGGACACAATTATTCATGTTGAGAACGATCTTTATTTTAAAAGTTATTCGTATGATTGTTGGCTACTCTTCGAGTTCTAGAAACGATAGGGGAAACAATCGATAATAGATTATTATGGAGAGTAACGATTGTTTCGTGTGACACACTTTTTCTTTGATAAAGTGACACATCCGGTGTGTGGTAGCGGTGTTCCGTGTCATGTGGAGTGTGGCCCGTTATTTATTCATTGAATAAACTCGCTTGATCTAGACACATTGATTCAGTTTTTGCTTACGATATACTTACTTTTATCATCGAATATTAAACTCGGCTGTTATCTTTTAGGAATGATGTTTAGTCCACTTATTTTATTCGGCTGTCAAAATAGTTCGTCAGAATACCATTACTTCCTAAAGATGACACTATGATCTCTTTATTATAATTGTGAACGATCTAATCAGAACTGTAAACTAACAAGAATTTATTGAAAGAAAATAAAAAAAAATTATATTTTTAAACTATTGATTTTAAAAAAAAATTGATTTGTCAGGTTCTATGTAAGTTGCAAAGGTTAATTATTTTTTAAAAATTTATTTATTGAGAAATATTACAATCTGTCTCTAGGACATTTATAATAGAGTTCACAGATCACATTCATACTCTATGTGAAGGTTAATAGGATATAATAATTTTAGGTTTGTAGGCAAAATATATGTAGCCTTCCCTCCCCAAAAAGAAGAAATACTGCCATCCCCTTCTTAAAAACGGTATGAAAGAACTATACACATCTATATTATTTCTAAAATGTGTTTTTTTGTCGCAACGACATAACTTCGTCAACTCTTCATCAAATCCAATGATCTAGTCCTCATTTGAAAGAACTTCTTCGCCTTCAGGCGGGAAAAATCGGCATATCCCCGAAATTTAAGGATAAAAAGTTATGAAGGAAAAGAAACTTTATTTGCGAAAAACTAAAAAAAAATATGCATTTTGTTCTTGATTGTACCCATGATTACTTACAAAACAAAAATTGTAAAATTCAGACAATTATTAACAAAAATACAGTCTATTATTTTTGGTATAATTAATAGTTTCTTCCTCTTAAACTGATATATATATATATATATATATATATATTTACTTTATTTTGTTTTTATATTTTTTATAATTTAGAAAATCCCAGGATCGAGGCTTTATTTTGAATATTTCCTCTCCAATCGGCGTTAAAAAATAGGCCCTATCAAAGCAATTAGTACAAATATTTTGGTCTATTATCTGAAATAGAATATTTTAATCGACCAAGGTAAAACAATTAATTCCTCTCTCACATGATACATAGGATCTGCTTATTTCCATATTGTTTCTCTACTCCTTTACTAAATAAACTCTTCGTCGAATTATTCACACGGACCAACTAGTTTTAGTTTATTTAGAATCACAGTTGCTGTGGCCTGCAATGTGATTTTTCTGTAACTCTGTGGTTTTAAAGTTCCCACTGCCCAAAACCCCAAAAAGATATGACTTCTTCCGAAAATTAATAATTCTATAAAAATGACCTGACTAATAGAGTGACAATGCCATACAGTGACTTACAAATCTAATTAAATTCTGCTCCAGCAGACTGCCTAATATTACAAATTTGGTCTTAAATATTGGTTGAAATCGACGGTCGAATTTTTATTAACTTTGCCAGACATCTAATATGTGTCATTCAACCAAATATTAAAAAACATACTGATACGAAATTGTTTAAATTATGGTTTGATTAAATTATTGTTTAAATTTTTTAAGGTTAAATTATGGTTCTAAATTAGAACTTCTAATGGATGCCTAATACAATTTCGGTCCACGACTATCAAGTTCTTCAATATAGTGACTTGAAAACGTACGCCCTTCTGTTTAGAACTTCTATTTAAAAGTAAAACTTATCAACTCGCGGAACGAAAAAAAGTGATTATATCCACCATTTTATGGTATATTTTTTAAAATTCACACCATCCTTTATTCATTTTTATTTCCATCTAGGGCCCCTGCAGTTTCAAATTTTAATTGAAATCTGAGAGTTCATAATTTTTTTATTATTTATTTTAGTCTTGTTATATTTCAACGGATTTAGACATAACTATTGGGCCTATTGCCTATATGACAGGAAAATATATTATTAATTTTTATTAATCGAAATATTTGATCGTTAAAGAGATTACGTTGACGGACTCTTATCATCGCTAGCCTTTTTTCTGGTCGTGAAAGGCGTTTTCGCGCTTGAAATAGCATCCTGTCTGTGGCTGTGGTTTCCTGTCTATCGATGGAATGTGACATTTAAGCTCTGTAGCCACTGCCTTACCGATAGGCGCACTCGATTTTCTAATAAGGTCAATATATGAATAGATTTTACCATAAATAAGGTTTAATGAGCAGATATGAGACCGGATTTTCGTGTTTAAAAAAATTTGCAAAAAAGTGCAGTAAAAAACTATGAACAAAATCGAAATATAATCACATGGAAATAAAGTGTGCAATAATATGGAAATCCTATCACTAATCAATATAATAAATTAAGCAAAATAAATGATTTTTGCCGGTTTTCGAGTCCTAATTACAGAATTTTAAATATTTCGGATTTTTACTACACGATTTTGTACATTTTCGGTTTTTCACTGCACTTTTTTCGGTTTTTACTGATTAAATCCGATTTTTAGAGCAGATATTCCCAAGAAACCGTAATACGACAAACGTAGGATTCTCGATAAGGGGAAAATTCAGAAAAGGATTCGATAAAAAATATGAATTTTCTATAGGATATGGATAAATTAATGTTTATTCACTACAAGAAAAAAATTAAGAAAGATTATAAATTAAGGTGTGTGTGAAATGGAAAACTAAAGTTCTTGACATTGAAGGCTCTTTGGATGGGATCCATAGCCATTACCTTAATTCCACTTGAATGTTCCATCAACAAGTAATACTTTTATGATACTTCATTATATTTCAAGTAATACTTCATTCTTATAAAAAATGAAAAAGGATTCCTTTCAGCCAATTTGATGTTTTTTCTCTCAAACATTGGCGGGAAAACGCGTTAAAGTAAGCGATTGATAATGGAGTAAGTAAAGGAGTTAAGGGGACGGTTTCAATTTATAATAATGTTATTTTTTTTTCTTTTATGGAAGCATCTCTGCGATCAAATAAGCTGAAAGAGAAGTCTTTTTCATTGAGCTTTAGAAAAGTATTCCTTTTTGGCGGAACATTTAAGTGGAGTTAGAGAAACGACTAAGCATACAATCCTTATCTTTAAAATTAGATGGCTAAAATAGAAAGATATTGATAACTTATTGAATCCATGAAAAAATAAATATATAAATTTAAGTACTTTAACATAAGTTATAAATAGGATTTTAATTCCAAGATATATTACTGCTCTGCTTTTGTTAAAAACAATCTATGTGAAACTAGAATTGAAAAATTGAAGATAATATGAATATCCCTTCTAAATCACCTGACTTGTCACATAGTCCAATTTTTATTTATTTAATATATTTGTGTAGCTGTTGTTCTCTTTTTGACTTTCTAGTTTTCAAAATCTGGTTAGAAATTATGAAGTAAACATTTTAAAGAACATTACCGTTTATTTCTATGCACGTTATGTGAATGCTATAGCATATACAGTACATTCTAGAAGCTACATGTATTTTCTTGCATATGTTGAAAAAAACGTGTAGCGATACGTTCCTTAATTCATGAAGTTGCTATATAGGCCATAACGCCAGTGAGAGCTTGCTCCCAAAATGGGTTTGGTGTCATGACCCCTGAGGGTGCGTGGGTTCGACGGTCGCTTTAAGGGTAGCCTTATCTGGGCCATCCAGCCATTGTCAGATTTCCTTGGTCCTTCGGTTCTGCATGTGAGATATCGTCTTAAATCTTATATCTGCTCTTATTCTGTCATTCCTAACAACGGATCCGAACGTAGTGGGCGGAGTATTGGGAATAATGCATTTGTTTATTTTAGAAAACATCTGTAGTACATTCGAGAATATTGTGAGAAGTAAAGTAACTAAATAATATGTCTTGACAATTCATTATCTTGAGACTTATTTAAACATTTTTTTTTTAATTAATGCGAAACTCTGTTATTGAGCAATATTGCATTCTTTCAATATAAACTACAATGTTAATAGTGAGCAAAGAGCTCATTAAAACCATATCTGTTAAAGAAATAAATAGATTAAATTAAATCAAAACGATAACTAAATAACAATATTAAAATAAATAGATGACTAGGCTTAAAGATAAAATAACATATTAAACACAGGCATACCAGAGGAAATCTAACTTCAATATAATACAAACATATTTAGAAAAGGTCTATGGCCCACAGTCGTGTCAAATTGCGATAAGCATTGTAGAGATGTATGGAGCTTGTGCTTGAGTGATGTTGGATGATGTATGAGGTTTTCGTAAAATTTGTAGAACTTTTCTGGGAATAGAAATAGCGTTTTGTTATTTGTATAGGATGCAGCATTAACTATTGTTTGAAATATTTTGAACAGGATGGACTCGATAAAAAAAAATCTATTTCACATTCTTCCGCTTTATCTTTATTTTATAAGGTAGAAAAAAAAAACATGAAGTCAACGAAAATTTAAAAGAGTTATATTGTATGTAAAATTAAGTTCTCATTGTAAAAAAAACTTTTAATACTAACGTAGTGACTATACTTAAATTTCACTATCACTATTTTATTAGATAGAACCTAAATAAAATTTTTAAATTCTAGGCTAAGGTTATTTAAAAAAAATAAAGTAAAATAAGACTAAGGTTAATCTTAAAGATGAGTTATTTAAATATAAGATTTGTTAAACATTATTGGGGCATTGGGAATTCGAGAATATGTACCAATCCTGATCTTTGATAACTTCCGAGGCGTCTGAAAATAAGATCCGTATTGTAACTTAAAATAAGATTGTAATTTCCTAATTTAGAAATTTTATTAGAGTGCTATCAATGGTCGGTTTCCATACAAGTGTTCTCTAGGAAAGAAGAGACAGTTAAAAGGGTTTGGGTCAAGGTTAAATACATGTAATTTTATATTGGAGGTCTGCATCATAATTTCTTAGAGCTCAGGATGTTTGTCTAGCTCTTGCTTCTCATCTTCGTTCCATAATAAGTTGTTTTAGATTATATCCACGTACGGCAATTTCCTCCCATCCATCATCCTTAAACTTTCTACCGCTAATGTCCTTAGGATCCGAGAGGCTACCCGGACAGGAGAACATGCATGGCGTACACTCTGCACGCGCGGGCCGTACATCACTGCAACACGGTGCAGCCTCCCGTGACATGAGGGTCTCCTGTTTCCACGTTGATATATGACCCTGTCAACACTTTCAGTGAGATCGAATTATAATCCAAGTAATATATGGAAAGAATTTTTTTTTTATTCATTCATGATATTAAGAAGTTTATTAAAAAAAGTAAATATGCTCTCAGGAATATAATCACATGAAAAAGCTTGTTGAGAAACTAACCACTTGCAGCACTCAAATGATATATTTACACAAGAAGATCACGAGGCCACCTTCTTTTCAGACGTCTCGGAGGGTTATCAGGAATCGAAGATGAAGCAAGGTTTGAAACGAGAGGGTTCGGAGGATTCTGAAGTTTGTTATGGAAGGATAGGTTTCTGAATTTGAACGAATCGGAAACATATGGAACATTAAGATCCTTATGGATAATTTTATTTGTGAAAAAGTAAGGAGCGTTGGGAATTTTACGAATCATTTTGGATTGTAAGGTGTGGATACAAGAGAAATTCGATGGTTTCTTGTTAAACTCCTAAGCTCAATTCCGTAATTCCAAATAGGTCTTATTATTGTCATATATAGTAGTTGAGTAAATTTTTTAACTACTTTAGTTTTAAATTTTAAAACATTTCAGAATCTTTTTCTAGCTCAATGGACATTTTACTAAGCCCTATACCTACTGTACAAATATAATAAATTCAACACTTATCCTATCCTATTCTATACCTTTACAAAAGATTATATGTATATTTCTTCTGTGCTTTTTGTAATAATAATGAGTGATTTTGGAAATCCGAAAAAAAACAAGTATATTGTTAAAATTATTGTATCGAAAGCAGAGGTAGCAGTTAACGTCTCGGATTTGGGCAGGTAGGTTGTATGTATACATAATGTATAGTAATGGAGCGGGTATTGATCCTTACAGTAATCTTGCTAAGACTGGTGGAACTGAAGAAATTTCCTACAAATCAGGACAGAGGAGAGACTAAAGCTTAGAAAGTAAGTTTGAGATATTCTTGATTTCTAAGAGAAGCCTCTGGTGCCCGAGCGACATCCAGAAATATCGTACACCAGATGCGTGTTGTTTTTTATTTATCTCCTCAGTAACTCAGCATAATTTTTGTTTTGAATGCAAGTTGTGGAAACGGAACTAATGGTAAATTATTATTTTTTGGTTAGTGAATATTTCAACCAGTCTTTTGTATACTATTTTTGGTAAAATTTAGAATATACTGAGACGAATACCACCTCTATATGATGAGGACTTAACAAATTATATACGTGTTTCTTAGTTAATTGGTTAATCAGAATAGAAATGGTGGAAGATAATTTTTGTGCATTCATTTGCACATTGCCACTAGCGGATCCAGGATTTAATATTGCGGGAGAGGACTTCAGCCCGGAAGCTTTTTTTTCATAAAAATAACGATAATTACTTAGGAAAAAAAGAAAGAAATTAACTACCTGTATGAAATGGTGTTTAAGTGAATCCTAAAGTCCTTTTAAATATAATTACACGATCAATAGTACTTTAAGAGATAATTTTTTAATTTTTTTTTTCATAAAACATGGTTATAGTTTACCATTTTGGGGAGCTTCAGCCCCAATGCCTCTCCTCCCCCGTAGACCCGCTTGTGTACATCCCTAAAGCAATCTGTTTTAGTATCGTCTAGATTTAAAATAAACCTACTAATCTTGACAGTGGTTCAAAAACCAGTCAAAATATGCCCCATCAAAAGTTCAAAAACCCGTCAAAATAAGCCCCTCAAAAATTTTGATGCCGCAACTCGCGCCATTAAACCCCCTTCTGGGCACACCTGTATGTCGAACAAATGAAACAGTTTTCTCCTTAGCCATAAGGTATTTATGTATCGTCGATCCTGTATATTATTCTTTTTAAAAAAACGTTACTATGCGTGTTTTGTTAACTATTTTAGGTTAGTTAAAGATTATTTATTTAAAACTTATTTATCAGACATTAATTCCAAATAATGATAATTCATATAATTTTCCGTAATGATGCGATTAATTCTTTAACGAGTTATGAAGAGTTTCTCTTCGAATTTAACAGATTAATAGCCCAGATAGCGAATGTTCATGAGAGCTTTGAGTTATTTCTGGGATAATTAAGGACCTCAACTTGTTCGATTCTCAGTTACTCCGTTGGAATCGAAAAGCCGGCTACTCGGAAACTTTAGATTGGACCGTTTAGACTCCAAGAACGGCTCAGAAGTTGTTGGAACTTGATCAAGATATAGATTATTTAAATTTTAATAGCTTTGTATAGTAGTTTTGCATAATAAAGTAACAAATTTATTCCAGGGAACCTATATACACACTCACATGTTCAGGATGGCCTCCTTAAGTAAAGAGGAATATTTATAGAGATAACAGAAGACCTCAAATGTAATAAAAACGTTCATATAGAATAATGTCAAATTTTTACATAAAAACTGTAAATTTAGTTTTGTGTTTTTTCAAGTGTAACGTTTTTTTTAATGGAAAGTAATAACTAAAAAATATTTAATCTGAGTAAATAACATTTGGTACTTATTAAACTAGACAAAATTTATCCCCAAATGCAAGCATTCACCGAACTTTTAGAAAAACGCCCTTCGCTAAACTTACTTTTCCAAAATTTTACCGTTTCGTCGTTTTCCCACTATATGATCGAATGTTGCTTATCGTAGCGTTGATAAAAGTTTCAGTCGCTATAAAGTACACTGCGGGATCCAACCGAGAAGGAAAAGAGGAAATTTACCCATTCAAAATAACCAAGGAAAAATAAGTTCTACTTTTTAAAATATTTCAAATAGTAACAATGCTCGTTAATAATTGTGAATATATTATCATTCATTAGGTGCATGGAAATTTAAAAACTATATATAAAAAAAGACTCATAATAAATCGATCTTTATTATATATGTGCAGTTTATTGTTAGTATAGTATAATTTATGTATGTATAGAATACTATTAGTTATTATATAGTTATTTTATAGTGTTAGTTTATTAATTTTATTCTACTTTTTATATTTTAACATATAAATCAATGCCTTTGTGTTATTATTTTTGTTATCTTATTATATTATTGTTTTATTTATTTTTATTTATCCAGGTTATACGTTTTCTCTCTCTCTGTACCAATATGTTTATATATGTTTCTGTTTATATTTCTTTTAGTGTTTGCGCAGTATTAGGTAAATCACTGTATATATTATTACATTTTGTATTAAGTTATTTTTTTATTAGTTAGCCTATTGTTGATAAATTGTATAGTTATTTATATATAAATATGCAATTTCTTTTTTTTTATGTTGTTTTTCTTTCATCACAATAATAAGTAATTTTGAGAAGATTTTATGTTGATTTATTTTTTTTTTTTTATTCATTTTTTAGTGGTTACATACTATTTTTTAAATTAATGTATATAATGCTGGAATTTTTATAAGTTAGTTTTTGGGCAGATTTGTAATTTCTTTTGTATTAATTCATCATTGTTATTCTAAGAGGACTTAGTCCCAGAATAAAGTTCAATTTTCTATTCTATTCTATGTAACAATAAAATGAATTAATTACTGTTTCTATGCTTACTACGAACCGTTTAAATAGTCCAAGCTAGGAAATATTTAGGTTATTGATTTATTTCGTTAAGTCATTTCGTTAGACATTTCAATGTCCATGTTTTTTTTTTATTCAGAAAATTTATTTTTGATATTCATTATATTATTGCAAGGTTTTTTAAATACTTTTTTACCATTATACCACTTAAACACTTTTTTTTTTCTTCGTTTAGGTTTTTACTCGGTTCTTTACTGCGTGACTCCCTTCGGTTCATTTTAATGTTTAGCAATCAAAATTCTATTTAGTCTTTACAGTGAATATAATTTACGATCAAATCGCTGCTTTTAATTCGACAGAGGAAACTAGAAAGAATAAGTGGAATAGAATTTGTTGAATAAATAATCTTTCCTTGCGGCTCCTCTGGAAAAGTTTTATTTGGGTCCTAGAAAAGTTAAAAATAACTCAGAATTAGTTTTAGCAGCAGGACTTCCGAGTATATTGTAATCGAAAAGTTACGTTTGTTGACTTCGGTGGTATTTTGGTTTAACTGTTCCGAGATACAAACACTCCAAAGGAGAAGAGGTATTTTAGATCTGTTTTGTAAATATTCCGGAGAGAAAGTTTTGCTTTGATAAAAACTTCTTGTAAACATATTTGTAATTGTTATTTATTTATTTATTTATACATTGAATCATGATTTATTTGTTTGGTGTAATTTACTTATTGTGATTTTGTTAGTTTAGGTTGTTTATTGTTCTGAATTATTTTTTCATATTTGTAATTTATTAACATTTTACAATGTTTTAAGTTTTTTTTTAAATTTTACAAAACAGACTACAGACAGAAAACAGACTACTGATCCGATTTCTTCGAAAATCCTATAATTACATCTAGAAAAAATACAGTTCTTTGGTCAGAAAGCTTAAAAATAGTAGTTCGAGAAATATAATAAAAAGAATGATAAAACTTCTTTAATATTAAAACTATTTTAAAGAACTTTTCTTTTAGGGTCATTGATATTTTCGAACATTCAAATATATATTTATAGTTATTAAATCAGTAAAATTCATTTTATGGTTAACGTGTAATTTTCAAAAAGTTCTTAATTAGGATCAACGTTTTTATGAGAAATTTATATTTTTAACATTCATAAAAAACAATCTTTTTTTTACTATTGGAAGATAATTGTTTGTATTTAAAAATGTAGAAAGTGCCACAAAGAAGAACAATAAATATAAGAGTTTTAAGGTTCCATTAATATCATGGATACAGAATTTTCGAAAAGTGAATGGGAAAATAATCAATTATTTATGTTACCATTTTTTTTTTTTTTTTGCATTCTAGTGTTATTAGTAATAAATAACCATGGTAATAGCAATGATTCATTAGGTTTTCTAATTTTCCCTTTGATTACACGAACGTTATTTGTAGTTTTATGAACTTGTTGCACATAGAAACCTGAGATTATTGCGCACAA